ATTGGCCAGGCAGCAGTGGCTCATGCCTACAACTTGGCATTGGGGAGGCTGAGGAGGGAGGATGGCTTGAGGCCAAGAGTTCAAGACTAGCCTGTGGAACACAGCAAAACCCCATTTCTACATATACAAAAGAAATTAGCCCCACATGGTGGGGCATGCCTGTAGTCCCAGCTACTTGGGAGGCTGAGGCAAGAGGATCCCCTGAACCCAGGAGTTAGAGGTTACAATGAGATGGAATTGCACCATTGCACTCTAGGCTGGGAGCCTGACTCAAAAAAATGTAAAAATGAACATATTATGGTCATTCAAAAGTTGAGGAGGCTGGGCATGGTGGCTTATGCCTGTAATCCCAGCACTCTGGGAGGCCGAGGCAGGTGGATTGCTCTGAGCTCACAGGTTGGAGACCAGCTACAGAGATACCTTGTCTCTAAAATATAGCCGGGCATTGTGGCGGGTACCTGTAGTTCCAGCTACTCAGGAGGCTGAGGCAAAAGAATCACTTGAGCTCAAGAGTATGAAGTTGCTGTGAGCTATGACACCACAACATTCTACCAGGGGGCGACACAGTGAGATTCTGTCTAAAAAAAAAAAAGTTGAGAAAAAAGATTTGGGGAAGCCAGTTAGACTCAGGTGCCCCCACCTTGCTGGGTGACTCTGTGCCTCAGTTTCCTCCATCAACAGCATGTGATAACTTCCCAACTTGCTTGCACTTCAGGCTATTATGTGAAAAAAGGGAGATATGAACACGCAATGGAGGCTGATTTCTTCACTCTTACGATTTCCAGCAGCCCGAAATACGCTGAAAACAACCAGGGACAAAGCTGGGGCCCTCCCGGGCTGGGGGAATGAGGTGCTCTCCCTCTGACCTCACACCTGAGCAGCAACTCCCTTTGTGCTCTTCAAGGAAGGTGGAGGGGAGCCCTTCATTGTCCTAAAGGGGAAGCAGGGGCCACATCCTGCCAGCTGGGAAATGGAAAGGCAGAGGCCTCCGCAACTGTGCCCTGGAGCTATGCGCAGCTTGAGGGATTCCTGGCAGGGTCCAGGGGCCCTTATGAGGCCCCAAAAGTAGGGGCAGGAGGTTGAGTTTCTAGAGGGCTGTCTAAGCCTCCTGTCTGCAGGTGAGGCAGCCCTGGAGACCAGATGGAAAGGCAGGGAAACGTCTCCAGGTGCAGCCCCATCCAGACCAGTGAGTGCCAGAGAAGTCAGGCAAGATAGGACTTGGGGGGCAAGGGGGTCTAGGTCCCTGGGACTCCCCAGACCAAACTCACCCTCTCCTCAGAGCCACCCCTGCCTCAGTCCCCACCCCATGGGCACCCACCTCTACCCTGTTGCTGGGCCCAACTCCAGCAGCTTTCTGCCACTCTACCCTGTTAGTCCCCACCATTGGGGCTGCATCCCACTCCCTGAATCTGTCCAGAACCCACCTGCCACACTCTATGCCCTTACCATGTCCCCAGAGAATAAGGCCATTCCTATGTCCCACCACAGGGCCTGGCACACAATAAGTGTTCAAGAAATATTTGCAACCAACAGACAGAATTGCTTCCCGGAAGGTGGCACCAGCCTCCCCACCACTCTCCCTGCTTCCATCTCTCCTTCTCACTACCTACCTATGATTTCCTAAAATAATATTAACAATAATTGCAGTCATGAAAAACGCGTGTACCGAGCACTCTGCTAACAGCTTTGTGTGTATTATCATTTAATCCCCACAATACTCCTGGGAGGCAGAGCTCCTATCAGCACTGCCACTCTGCAGAGGAGGAAACTGATGTCCTCACTGAGAGCATCACTCCTTTGGCTAAAACCCTTCATGGCTCCCGTGTCTCCAGGATAAAGTCCAGAATCTCCAAGACAGCCCACCTGCACCCCCAGCCCTTCTCATGCATTTCCTAATCCACTCGCCCAGCCACACACCCCAGTCCCCACTTCCTCTAGCCCACCTTGCTCCATGCTATGTTCAGGCCTTTGCACAGGCTGTCCCCTCTACCTGGACCCCTTTCCTCTCCTCTTGCAGCCTCTACCTGGCCACCTTCTGCTCACCCACCCACTTCCCCCAGATGCCTCCTCTGGACCCCCTCTGCCTGTGTCCTCCCCTCACAGCTTTGTCCCACGTGTTACAAGCACCGGCCACACATCTGTCCTCTGTTTGTACACATCATCCACAAAAGCAGACATGCTATCAAGTTACCATGGGACCCGCAGCACATGGCATGGGTCTGGGCACACGGTAGGGGCTTAGTTTTTGGAGGTATCCATCTGGGGCTAGAAGTAAGGAGATGGTGGGGTCTTTATTGCTGCAGAACAAGTTTGGTCACTGCTATCTAGGACCAAGCTAATAGTTCCCTAGAGTAATAAGAAGTAATAACAACTGATGCCTACCCCGTGCTGGCTGTGTGCAGTTTCCAGCACTTTACACTGATGAATTCATTTAGTCCTTAAAATCACCCTTTGTCATGAGGATTTGTTTTATTGTCCCCATTTTACAGGTTGAAGAAACTGATGCCCAGAGAGTTTAAGGTACTTGTCTAAGGTCACAAAACTGGGCAATGACACAGTAGGACTCGAACCCAGGCAGCCTGATGCAAAATCTAAGTCCCTAACCTATAACTGGGGAGCTGGCAACAGCCTGGAGCAAGAATTAAAGTCCCTCCCTCACACTCACCCATGCAACAGGCCCAGATCCAGGGCCTGGGGCACATCTGGGAGATAGTGCCAGTCACAAGATGAACACAGGTGTGAAGAACACAGGGAGGGTGACTAAGGAAGGCCTCAGAGGGAGGCCTCAACCGGGAGTATATGCTTGGTCTTAGAGGAGGCCACTCTGCCCCTGGGGCTGTATCCCTGTATCCTACAGGGAGAGGGAAGCCCCAGCCCCCTTCAGCAGGGTGAGTCACTGTACCAGGCCAGGCTGGGGACAAGGGACCGTGGGAACCAGGACAATTCTTAGCAGAGGGGGAGGGGAGAACCGTAGCTGGCCTGAGGAATGGCACAGATCAGCTGACACCAAGGAGCCCCGACCCAGGCCTTAGGTCTGCCCGAGGGAGGCCAGAGGGTGTCCAGGCCTCAGCCCGGCCCCCATAGGGCCTTCCCTCCATTCAGCAGTGGCTACAGAGCAGGGTTCCACTCCCCACTGCCCTCCTTCAGCCCTGAGACACCCCCCAGCCATGAGATGCCCAGACCCAGTCTTGCCGGGAATGTAGCTCTGGGGAGGAGAACTGTGGATGTCCCAATACAGCCTGGGCAGCCACCCCTGTCGGGCTGCTCCCTTGGACAGTCTGCTCTTCTTGCACTGTGACCTTTATTTTCCGGGTGGCTGGCTGGGTGGTGGGCAGCTATGGGCAGCCATGGGAGCTTGACTGTGGGAGAAGGAATCTGCGTTTTCTCAGAGCCCCAATGTTCAGCACATCCTCTGGGGAAGAATTAATCTCCTGAGAGTCTTACATAGCCTGAAGACCACAGAGGAGGGACGGGCAGGACCTCCAGGACAGCTCCCAAGTCACCAAGAGTCTGAGTTGGGCATTTGGCTGTGGGAGGAACAGGCTCCCTAGAGGAACGGCAAATTGTGGGCTTGATACGGGCTCCCCAGACTCAGGCCAGGATGGAGAGTGTGGACAAAGCCCAGGTGTCATTTCAGAACCTCATTCCTCAAGGTGACAAATAGGGACCAAAAGACCTACTTTCCAGGGCTACAGAAGTGACCCCTTGCTGGTGGACTTCCTTGAGGGGAACTGCACTATGTCCCCTCTGCACCGCTGTGTCAAGGCCCCCAAGGTCAACACACACACTGATACTCACAGCTGTTCCTCTTCCCCTGCCCAACCCAGGCTCGGACACCTGGCTCCAGACCACCCTGTCCACTCTGTAGTCCTCCCTGAGCCCCTCGGCCCTCTCTGGCCCCCATAATGCCCCTTTCCACCTTCCTCTATTCTCCTGACTGTGGCATTTGTACACCCCAGCTGCCAGGGACTCCCCCAGCACATACACTCACACACACACCCTCTGAGCTCTGTGTGCAGAAAGCAGCAAAGACTCGGCATTAAGAGCACAGGCAAGGCCAGACAGTCTGGATTCAAAGCCCACCTCTGCCAGTTCCCAGCTGTGTGATCTTGAGCAAATTACTGAGCCTCTCTGTGCCTACTTCTTCTGTATAATGAGTATGAGAATAGAGCCTACCTCAGAGAGTTTTTCTAGAACCAAGTTAGGACATGTGACACACTTAGTCCGTTCTCCACAGTGTAAGTGTTGATCCCATACTCCTGGGGCCTAGTACACACTAAGTGCTCAAATAATTGTTGAATGAGGGAATAAAAGTTGGGTTCAGGCAACCACTTGTTTGCCAACTGTGCAGTCTTCCCAGAGTACCTGCTGGTTCCCAAAGATCAGCGTCCCCTGCCACAGACCTCCAAGTGCACAACCAGGGCTGCCTTGGGGCACCTGAGCTTTGCGGTTCCTCTGTCCGCCCTGCACTCCTGCAGGCCGTGGCCTGCTGGCACATGGGCTGGTGCACACGCCCCTGTTGCTTCCACGTGCTGCCCCCCAACACACACACAGGCGCAAGGCTCTGATGCACACCTGTGTTCCCCTCTGCCACGCCCACCCACGCGTCTGCTAACCAGTACTAGCCTGACAGGCTCACACAGCCCTCCCAGACACACCCTGGGTCAGGCATGCAGGCATGCACCTGCGACCCCACGTGCACACCTGGGCTATATGCCCACCCTCTGCCCTCTTCAGTGAGCACCGAGATACCTGTAGCAAACTGGACCCCTCCTAGTACACCTAGGTTGCACACCTGTAAACCAGCTCTCACTCGAGTCCTCACAAGTGCCCACCTGCGCAATGCAGGTGCCAGTAATACCTCTAGGGGGACACCCATATCCTTGCTGCGCGCTGGAATCCTCATACACTCACACCTTCGACCTGCTCAGCACGGAATCCAACCAGTCACCGCGAGCTCACCCTGCGGGGCCCTTTTCCAGTGGATTTGGAGGACATACCTGGATATTGCGCTTGGGCTCGCAGGCTGGCCCGGTGCCCTGCACCACACTGTCCAGCACCGCCACCACGTCGGGTGCGGGCTCCACGAAGCAGGCAGTGCGCGCGGCGCGGATAGCAGCTCGCACGTCCGCGAAGCGAAAGGCGCAGAGCGCCGCGGGAGCCGCCCGGACCGCGGGGGCCCCCTGGGGCCTCTCGAAGACTGCAAAGAGCAGCTCACGTGCGGGGAAGACGGACACCAGGCGGCTGTAGAGGTCGCCGCGGCCCGCGCCGCCCGCGCACTGCAAGCCCAGCTGGATGTAGGACTCCGTGAGCTTCTTGGCGTCGCCGCCGGCGCCGCGGGGCAAGCAGATGCGCGCCAGTAGGCTCCGCGCCTGGCTCTCCTTGTCGCCCGCGCGCGCCTCGCTGTTGAGCGCCAGGTACGCGTAGGACGGTGCGCTCGGCGGCGGGTCGGGCGGGTGCAGGAAGGCGCGCACGAAGCCCAGCTTGTGCTGTTCTTTGGCGCCCTGCTTGATCTTGAGGATATTGTCGTCGGAGGGGTTGAGGTCGAAGGTGAAGAGCTTGGCCAGGTCGCCGCGCGCATCCAGAGAGCGTATGGCGATCTCGGGTGTGTTCTCGAAGCGGTGGTCCTCCAGGCTGCGATTGCGCGGGAAGAAGGCGCTGCCGTAGCCGGTGTACGTGGCGCCCACCAGCAGGCGGCTGCCTCCCGCGCCGGCGGCCGGTGGCAGCACCAGCCCCACGGTGGACGCGTTCGGGTGGTTGGCCGCCACGTTCAGCATGCTCGGGAACACGGTGACGGGCTCAGCCGGCGGCGCGGCGGGCGGGAAGTGCACTGCCACGGCTGAGATGTTGCCCCGGCGGCGCAGCTGGCAGAAGCCCTGGTAGATGGAACCGCACACGACCACCAGCCCCTGGCCAGGGTCCAGTTGCAGGATCTTGTTGTAGTTGTCGGTGAGGCGCCGCGGGTGCTCGCACGAAGCCTGGGGCAGCTGCGGGGCGTGACACAGGGGGCTATCGGCCACCGGCCCCACGGCCGCCTCGGCCTCCAGGCTCAGGTTGGCGCCCGACAGCTGGTAGAGGCGGTTGACGGCCGCCAGGTACACCGTCCCCGCCGCGCCGTCCAGGGCGAAGTTGTTGGTGGGCGTGGGCGAGGGGAACCGCCGCTGGATCTCCAGGGCTCCCACCCGCGCCGCCCCCAGGAGCAGCAGCAGGACCGGCAACTGGCACCG